ACACACACACACACACACACACACACACACACACACACACACACATATATATATAATTTCTACATGAAACACCTGAGGTCTTTCTATTTGGAGTAAGTATATATTATGCTGATGATACTCAGTTATGTATCTCCACCCAGGGCCAGACAGGCGATAGCGTAGATCTCCTACCCAATGTCTAGAGACAATCAGGGACAGAATGGAATGAAGTGCTCTGACACCGGGCTGCTTCTACCCAAATGCATAATTGAGCATGCATATTTGCCATTGGCTTTTCCTTTGTTAATACTCATGTGCAGACATTTAACAACCATTGCAATCCAATGGTGTAGATTGCAGAGATTCCCCAAGCATTTGTACATAATTGATGCTGAGTTTTACATTTAATGTTGATAAAAGTAGTAGGCTTTATCAGAGTTTATCCCATACATGCCATTGCAAAAATCTTATTAATGATGGATATTTATGTGTATGTAGGTTCTGCACTACCAAATGAGAATGCAGCTGGCAATTTTTACCAGACTAATAATGATACACTCCAGTGGATTATGCAGCAGCAGTCCCAACTGAATCTGACTGAAATGCAACATATCTCATGGGCCCCAATAGTAACTGCAGATTCCAGTAATCTTATAGGTAAGTCTAAACATGGCCTTTAAGCAATGAATCACAAAATTATGGAAGTGGAAGGGATCTTGTAATTTATTTAGTCCATCTTCCTGCTTAGTACTGGATTCAATAGAGCAGTGGTGGCTAAACTTTTTGGGATCCTGTGCCAAATATTGTACACGCGCTTGTATGCGTGTGCTCGCATGCCAGCACCCAGAAGGCAATGCACGCGCCCCCCCGCCCCCTGTGCATGTGTGCGCAATCCCCCCGCCGCCACCACCCCCTTGCCTGCACTGTGCCTCCCAGCTGATTTTCAGCCAGTTTGAGGCCTTTTTCAGCCTCCCAGAGGCTTGAGGAAAGCCTCTGCAGCCTGAAAAATAGGCCCGTTTCGTCACTTCTGGTATTTCCGGAAATACAGGAAGTGACGAAAGGGCCTATTTTTCAGGCTGCAGAGGCTCAAGCCTCTGGGAGGCCGAAAAAGGCCTCAAACCAGCCGAAAATCAGCTGGGAGGGCGCGCACATGCACAATGAGGTAAGTTTGCCTGCGGCTTGCATGCCACAGGTTTGCCATTATGACAGTTGGGGGTTTCTTTGACAGATGCCTCTCCAGCCTCTGGATGAAGACCTGTCGTGAAGGAGAACTCATCCAGTCATGTAGCAACCTATTCTAGTGCCTGACAGTTCGGTTAGGAAATTCCTCCTTGATGTCTAGCTTGAACCACGTTTCTTCTAATTTTACCTGTTAGTTCTAGTCCAACACTCTGGAACAACAAAAAATAAGTCCTGCCTCTTCCAGATGTTAATCTTTACATGTCAAAGACTTGTATCATATCAAGTCTTTTTTCCTGTATAGTAAACGCTCCCATGTCCTTTAATAATTCCTGTTTGCTCACTCACTGAAATGTTTCTTGGGCCGATCATTTAAACTCTTTGAGTTCTAGGCTATCTGTTTGACTACATTAAATTAGGCTTGTAATGCCTTCATGCTAGGTTTGTATCCAAAAGAAACAAAGGGAGTCTTGTGGAGAAGATCAGTGGCTGGAGAACATATATTAAGAGGGGCTACCTACAAAGCTCTTTTTATCATCTTTTTTCCTATCTGTTATAAGGATTGTAGATTCTTTCTGCTGATTACCTTGTTTTATTTTTCTAAATACAGCAGGAAATGCTATTTTGTATGAGCAAAGAAGTTCCTGTGAAACCCCTCAGGTCACCCAAAATGGCTGCTTACCCATAGGGAATGGAGCAGTGGTTGAACCTCTGGCAAGTAATTGTTACCAAGAAGGACCCCAGTGGCTACCTGCAAACCCAACAAATGAGCTTTCCCAGTCAACCATTGCTTTTCCAGTATCACATGCTCAACAAAACTTTCCTGGTGCAAATCAATTTAATCAGTTGGGTGAGTAAAGTATTCTGCAGTATACTTAGCTGAATTCAGCCCAAATGGAGCCCAAAACTTTAAAGTGTAGTGGCTTAAATTCCTATTGACATTATCAAAAGATAGTTCCACTCTTCCTAATTCCATTTGCCCAGACTTTGCAAACTTATTAAAGGTGGAAGAGGAATGGGAAAAAAAATCAAGCTAATTGCTTGTTAAGCAGAAAGTGAGAGCTTACTTGGCTCTCTCCTGTCTCCCAATTAAACACTTCATATTTGGAGAGGAAACATATCCTTCTTGGGGAACTAGGAAGCTAGTAAGAGAAAATGCAAACCAAGGGCAGCAGAGGAACGTTGTTAGTGAATTGTTCAATAAAGCAATGCAGAGAATGGCTGTTTTCACTGGAGACATAGAGAAATGTGTTCAAAATGTGATAGGGATAGGGCAAGATCACACAATTTTCTTGACTTTCCTCTTATTTTATTCATTAAGACTGAAGTAAGTGGTTTGGCTAAACCTTATAAGGATTTCCAAGTCGTTTCACTTTTCACCAGCTTCATGACTTCCTTGTATTCTTAGCAGGCATTTTATTTTATTTATTTATTTATTTTATTTGTTTGTCAAACATGTATAAGATAACAAATATAGGTATGAACATAAACATGAACAAAGGAAGTAAATACAGATAAATGGGGACAGTAAGACAGGGATGGTAGGTACGCTAGTCCACTTACGAACACCCCCTTTAAGGACCTCTTAGGAATGGGGTGAGGTCTATGGTAGACAGTATTCCAGGCATTGATCACTCTGTTGCTGAAGTCATATTTTCTGCAATCGAGTTTATAGTGGTTTACCTTGAGTTTGTATCGATTGTTTGCTCGTGTATTGTTGTGGTTGAAGCTGAAGAAGTCATTGACAGGCAAGGCATTGTAGCAGACAATTTTGTGTACTATGCTTAGATCGGACTGCAGGCGGCACAGTTCCAGATTGTCCAAGCCCAAAATTTCAAGCCTGGAGGCATAGGGAATTCTATTGCGAGTAGAGGAGTGGAGTACTCTTCTTAAGAAATACCTCTGAACCTGCTCAATCATGTTAATGTCCGATATAGAGCGTGGATTCCAGGTGAACGAGCTGTATTCAAGAATTGGTCTGGCAAAGGTTTTGTATGCCCTAGTTAGCAATTCAATGTTAGCGGAGAAGAAGCTTCGCAAAATAAGGTTACCAATTCTTAATGCCTTTTTGGTAATGCTGTTACAGTGAGCTCTGGGGCTTAGATCGTTTGAGAGAGGTACTCCTAGGTCCTTGACAGAGTGAGTTTTTCCCACCTCTTGATTTGATAGCTTGATATGGTCAAAGATAAAACTACCAAACATTTGCATTTATTTCCAAAATCATTGTAAGTAAGCAAATCTGTATACAATATGATACACTGCTAACATGTATGTGTTCATATCGTGTGTATTTCCCCTACCCCAGCCCCTGGATCTTCTTGACCACCATTGACTACTATGGATCTATTTACATTATACCAGTTGTACTTCAAACACTTCAATCAGTCTTCTCCCAGTCTTGCCAAGTGATTCATAAATTCTAATTAGAGTCACGTGCACAGTCCATCTTAGGTCTATCAGCCAACATTGTACTAGATAAAAATGAACAGTATACAGTCCATTTGCATCAGTTGCTAGAGGTATCTAACCCATGTTGCCATTGTTGGACTTTTAACTTTCAGCCAATGCCTCCATTGCCTAGCTTCCTTTTCCCCCAAAGTCTCTCTGGTCTTGACATGGCATTCCCCCAGTAAAATAAAGGGCTTTGTGTTCATTGAGCAAGAAGTAGACACATGGGAAAGTGGCTCAGTGGCTAAAATACAGTAGTTGTCACTTTTGATTTGAGAATAATTGTTCTTTCTCCTCTGTCTTAGAAGAAGCTGTCTGCGATACTAGCTGTTTCGTCGATAACATTTATCTGAACCAAGAGCCTCAGGATAATGGAATGAGGAATAATGAAATGAGGAGTGACTATCCACTTACAGCAAACCAGGAAGTTATGATGGAACAGAGTGTATTTGTACCTTCAGCTACCCTCCCAATAGATGAACCAGCCATCAATAATGTTCCTTCTCAGGACCTCGTAGGTCAGTGGCCCCCAACCTTATGGACACCAGGGACCAGTTCCGTGGAGAGAGGTTTTTCCACAGACTGGAGAGGGCATGGTTTTGTGTGCTGTCCGCATCCACGAATGGGGCTTTGCTTGTTTGCGCTGCCCGGTTTTTGGCATGTCACGGACCAGTGCCGGTCCACAGCCCGGGGATTAGGGACCCCTGCTCTAGGTCAGTGAAAGACTTTTCTGTGGGCTCACGAAGGCAACTAATAAAAATATCTGAGCAGCAATAGCTAACAAAAAATGTACCTTTTAATTGGAAAGTAGGGAATAGTTCCTTCCCAAACTCCTTTTTCTGTCTTCTTCTTTGTTTTCTGCTAATGCTCAGTCAACATGCAAGACCTTGCAGACAAAAGGATACCGCGTCTGCTTTCACTACACTGTGTACTCTTGTCTCTTGCAGAAACCGCCGCATTTAACATAAAGGTCTCCATCTACTACCATAACAAGCTGCAGGAAGAAGCAGAAGTAAACAGTTGCATGTTTACCTACAACCAGGAGAACTGCCACCAACCACACAATACACAGGTCATACAGTTTCCCAATCCAGAAGTGCTGTCGGATCAGAAGCGAGTTCGACATACCTTGACCGCATTAAACGCTGCAAGGTTATTATTATATCAGAAAAACGGGAGGATCTGGGCGAAGCGACTGGGCACCTGTCAGGTCTTCCATGCATTCTCCAAGGAGTTGGACAACCCTTCTCAGGACCCTCCACGTAAATTGCTGCCAAGAAATGTTGAAACCGAAATCTTTGACTACGAACAGTTCTGTCGAGGTGAGGGTCTAGAAATGAGGCAAAGAGTCTTCTTTATTGAAAGGGCTATGTGCAGTCTCATCTGTGTTCAGATCAGGGGCTGTGACATCTGGGTTGAAATAATTAAAAAGGAAGGTAATTGCAGGCAGAGTATCCCTCTTAGAGCCATTTGTTTAATGGCGGTTTGAAGTTACAGTGGCACTGAAAAAAATTATCTTACAACTGGCCCTTGCATTTATGACTGTAGCATCCCCAGGATCACATGATCAAAATGTGGGCGCTTGGCAACTGACAGTTGTAGCATCCTGGGGCCACGTGATTGCTATTGGCGACCTTCCCTGCGAGCTTCAAGTCAAAGGGGGAAGTTAAGTGATTGCAGCAAAAAAAGATTGCTCAGGTGTGACTCAGTTAACAATTGCATTGCTTAGTGACAGAAGTTCCAGTCCTGTTTGTGCTTATAAATCGAGGACTAATTGTAAAATCTTTCCCTGCCATCTGCAGGAAAATTCCCCATTCCGTTTTCCTACCTATCGACCATTCTTTATTTGAGATTGCAGGATACCGTCTCCAGCTTCGTTCTCATGGTGAGAGAGAGAGACTTTTAGCTTCATGAAAGGAAAGTAGCAGAAGCAGCAGAAGTCTTTCTTTCTCTCCCCCAAACTCCGCCAGAAATGAATCTTTGTGAGACTTGTCGCACTGGCGCAGCCTCTTGGAGCAGGATGCCTTGCAGGATCCCAAAGACTCATTTCTGGTGGAGTTTGGGAGAGAGAAAGAAAGACTTTTGCTGCTTTCCTTGCATGCAGCCAAAAGCAGAAGAAGGAAGAAACGGAAAGAAGCAGCCCGGTGGCCAGGCCAGTTGCGTGGGGCGAGTGGGGCAAGTTTCACCCTCTTTGCCCTTCCCCCCTCCCCTCGCTACCTCGTGTTGTTTGCAATGCAAGCGATACAAGCCTTGTGTTTCCGCGAGCCATGTGGGCTGCGCAGCCTTGTGTTCCCGCGCAGTCTGGATTAATTGCTTTGGGGGGTGGTGCTTTGGGGGTGATATTTCTCTGCGGACCACCCAAATTTTCACACGGACCACCAGTGGTCCCCGGCCCACTGGTTGGCGACCACTGTGTTATAAGACTTAGTGAAGACCTCTAAGGATAGGCGTCAAGCTGCCAAAAAAGCTTCTTCTCAAGGACTGCTTTGGCTTGCATTTTCAGGAAAAGAGTGTAGCAGTTATAATAGCAGCAGGAGGGAGATGGTTGGAAGAAGCTTTACTCCAGTGATCATAATGCAGCTGGCAGCGGCAGCAAAAGTGCAGCTATGCAAGTATACTCAAAGTAGTTTGGCAAAAAGTTCTTCAGGATTTTGTTCAGGCTTTTTTTTTTTTCATGCCTAATGTGTAGATGACAGCGATTGAACTCAGGACATTTTATATGAAATGTACTTGGTCTGACTAGTTGCCATCTTATAGTTCAAGAAAATGCAATGTATTTTAGGCATTCTAAATAAATAGTATCTGGCGTCATGCAACATGCTAACCTACAATAAATTGGCTGATTTTGGCTTAAATGATGCCTTTGGTATTTGGACAGCTGTTATCCATTGGTATATAGAGGTATTGTATGGGGAAACTGCTTCATTGCATTCTTTCCTGCTCTGCTAAATGGTATGTTTGTATCTGGGAGAAATGCTTGAAATACAGATTGGCCTCGGAGATTTTATGGTGGTATCTTGAGAGAGAGGTGAGAAAGTCACACTTTGGAAGGCTTGGTTAATGGGTGATGGATGATCAAACGATTCTAGGTTTCTTCTTACTGACGCAAAATAACCTTAGATTTTATTGTATTGATTTGCCCTGTTTTTCTGTTTATGAATCCATATATTGGCTTAAATAGCTATGAATCCTGGACTTTTTCTCTTTAATAGAACTGGCTGACTTCCGGGTTGGTCAAAGAAGCTCGTCTCCTGACTATACCATTTATCTGTGCTTTGGACAGCGGTTTACTGCTTCCAAACCTAAGGAGTCCAAACTGATCTTGATGAAGGTAAGGATACCGGTGTCAGGAAACTTACTGAAGATTGTTCAAGGTGGTTTCTGTCTTCAAAGGGATCACAGTAGTGGACTTCAGTCCGTTGCCACCCCAGCATGATTTCCTCCGGATGCCTGGATGGAAGGAAAGCATAGCCAAGTGGTTATGTGGATGAGCCCTAAGAACTAAAACGGGGCAGCATTTGAGACTGTGTCTCCGAAAGCTGCTTTGGAGGGTGCAGGATCACAAATACAATCCCCTCCAGATCAGATTTCTTCAGCCAGGAAGTCCAGCTTCATTCAGATCTGAGCTTGCTACAGCTGCATGTCTGGATTTGAACACCAAGCCTTACAGACTATAGATTATGGCACAGTTACCTTCCAGCTGGATTTGCAAGATTGCTCCAGGGGCAGGAGGTATACCAGGTAAAGAAGGGAAATCTTGCCATGAGGGTTTCAGTTCTTCAGATGCCAAATAGAAATAAATCAAGTGTCAGTAACCCAACGTTTTAAAATGTCGGCCTGTCTATATTTTCAGGTTTCAGGAGACCCTCAATTTACATACATCAAGCCTCACTCTTCTCTTCTTTCCTGTTCCTGTTTTTTTCTCTTAAAAATCCTGATGTGCCATCCTTTTGAACCTTCCATTCAGTGCACACCAGATTCTTCTCTGGGGGAAGAAAAAGAGGGGGCGGCTTTCCATAATATTGATCATGGGCAGCTTTATTTAACGGGGAAATATTTTGTTAGGCCCTCTGTAAATATTTTATATCTCTGTCTGTCTCTTGTACAGGTTGTTTATCTTTTTTTACAGTCTTTTCTAGCCTTTACAATAAAAAGAGTACCCTAAAAAGAGAAAGTTTAATACAGCAATGAGTTATTGGAGAACAGAAGAAAATAGTAATGGGGCAATAAGCAGCATATCTAATTAAAAATGTGGTACAATTGTATAACATGGTGAAAATATTTTGCCACCCGATCAGTGAGTGTAGGGTTAGCATTCTTTAAATCAGGGGTGTCCAACCTTGGCAACTTTAAGAGTGGTGGACTTCAACTCCCAAAATTCCTCAGCCAGCAAAGCTGGCTGAGGAATTCTGGGAGTTGAAGTCCACGAGTCTTAAAGTTGCCAAGGTTGGACACCCCTGCTTTAAATGATAATAAACATAAAATGTTATTTAGTAACCCTAGTATTTGGAAATGATTAGAGCCAATTAGACAGTATCTTGGGGTATCATAGGGCACCTTAAGAGGACATGGGTGCGAGTTTTCTTCCTCCCAAGATCCACAGGGACAAAGTCTCCATGAATAGGGAGCCCTTTGAAATCTTCCCTCCAGTGTATTCTTTGTTGGTACACCAGCACCAGTTACATATAACCTAAAGCTACTGGATTCTGATTAGGGAAATAAGGCTAGTCTCTTAACACCTTTATCCCTTTTCCACAAGTTTCCCTCCCTCTGCAACAGTGGGGGTATTCTACCGGTTCAGCCTGGTTCCGCCCCAGCACCGGTAGCACCGATGAGCAGCGGAGACGGACCCGGTTCTCTCCGTAGTTCTGCTGTTGGGCCCACCCGCCCACCTGGGCTGCCATACTCCCCTCTGCTTTTGAAGCACAGCTGTATTGCGTGGCACAGCTGAAGCGACAGGGAGTGTGTAGGCTCGTAGGAGATGAGCTGGGACGCCTCTGCACCTGCACCAAAGTGTGCGCACGCATGCAAGCCACGCCCACCAAGCCACGCCCACCGAACCGGTGGTAAAAAAATCTTTGAATCCCACCACTGCTCTGCAAGGTCTCAGCCACTAGGTGGATGCCAGCTTGTTTAGCTCATGCTGGAAGGTCCAAGCTGCTACCACCCTGTGGATATTTCTGCCCCTTCATAGCAATAAGCCACCTTGAGCATCTTCATCAATAGAGTGGCCTTTGCAGAGCAGGAAAGTGGTTTTTGGTCTCTTTCTGAATTCCCGCTGCCTTACAGGACTAGATAAGAACATTTAGCCTTTGCTGCGTTCTTGGACTCTCTGCTCTTTCTCCTTAATCCCAGAATAGCTAATACTAATCTGTGGCTAATTGGGAAAACGGCCCTGTCTCTCTCCCTCTCTTTTTTTTTTTCTGAGCTCTCCCATTTCTGAGCAGGAAAGCCACTGGCAGTGAAACCATTTCCATTTTCTTTTTGCCATTCTCCTAGACTAGAGAGTCAGTCTCATCCCTAACCAATAACATTTGTTTTGTTTTTTGGGGGTGGAATGTTATCTTTGCACAAGCTAATAATGTTTATTGTCTTCTGTGTATTTTACAGCTGGTTCCAAATTTTTGTAAACATTGGCATGAATTCGTGCAGAGGGAAGGCTGCTCATCCCTGAACAGCGAAAGTGTGAGCCTCCAAATCTCCAATAGCCTGTTTGATATGATAGAACAGCTCTGTGCTATAAGCATGCAGACCGAGACAGCGTATTGAGTGCTTTGTTTTGTGTGCCAATTAGTAGCAAAGGGTGAGAGGCTGGTTCCCTTCATTTGTTTCACAGGCAGAAGGACTATAATCTCTGGATTGCACCTCAGCCTTGCATTAGGGTAGCTGATCTCCTAATTGGACTATTATTTATTGAGATAATCACACTCCGGGGATACAGATACTCTGCCCTCTTTCCAGGAACTTATTGGAATATATATATCGTGCTGTGTGGCTTTATTGACAAGGATTCTTCTCTGCACGATGATAATCGCGGGACAAAGTTGAGGAAATTCTTTTCAAGAACATATTTTCACATGATAAAGACTTTCTAGATACTGCAGGGCAGGGGGTGGGATGCAAATATTTGTACTACCGGTTCTGTGGGCGTGGCTGGGTGGGAGTGGCTAAGTGGGCATGGCCATGTGACTGGGTGGGTGTGACTGGGTGGGGGATTTTTTTTGCAGCCCCCCACCCACTCTGGTTTTTTTTGCCTCCTGGGCCTCAGGGAAGCCTCCTGGGCGAAGCAGTGAGACGGCAAAGGGCGATCCCGGCACAGCTGATCGTCAGAACAGCTGATTGTCAGGAGGAAAAGAAAGAAATACTGGTTCGGCCAAACTGGTAGCTGTTTTTTTACTACCGGTTCGCCCGATAAACGTTAAATATACACTCTAACCTGAAACTCGGTTGATATTTCCTTCCTCCATGTTCCCCTAAAGAAGACTAATTCTCAATGCTATCAGACAGGGTTAGAAGCCTGGTTTTGTATTTTCAGTCCTAAAAAGAAAGAAAAAAAACTTACAAAGGACTTCTGTTCCTGTGTAGGAATTGAGTTTATTGTCCGCCCAAAGGTTTTAAATATTTAAAAATACATATTTAAAAACTTCATGCAAGCAAACATCTTAATCAATCAACTGTTTTTAAGTATATCAAGTTCCTTAGAAGTGGAAACATTGAAAGCTGTTCTCTCTTGTGATTTCAAGGGAGCTAATCTCTGAGGAGGAACCGTCCCAATTCTCTTGGCTGTAAAGGGGATGGGAAAGAGATTTAATTTCAGACTTGCAAGATTGAAGCCAGCCTTTCCAGATCGATCAGATAGGAAAAATGAGCTGTGTGTCTATGCAGATTCTCCGTCATCCAGGTCATGGTTGTCCCAAAGGTCCTTTATTCAAGAGGCAACGGGACTTTCCGGTTTTGCTTTGGAGACGTTTCGCTTCTCAGAGTTGGATGAGAAGCGAAACGTCTTCAAAGAAAAACCAGAAAGTCCAGTGGCCTCTTGAAAAAGCACCTTGAGGACGACCCAGTGAACTTATTCTACTTTATTGCAAAGCTACATTAACAGAATTTTGCAACTCTGAAATTACATTTCTCCCCTATCTCCTTTAGAGCCCAAGAAATGGGGCTCTCCTCTGAGCCTCCTGCCCTGCGTCATTCCTAGGTGGATTCTGACCATTGCCTTGGTTGTGTCTTTGCCTACCAAGATCATTCCCACATATCCTTACAGGGACCTGTTTTCTAGCCTAATTCATATTAAACAACAACAACAACAAAAACCTACAGGAGAAAAAAAGGCAATTTTGGTTGCAGAGTTTTTTTGCGGGGGGGGGGGGGGATGGGGGGAACAATAGAACTACTGGACTATATCTAGCCAGTAGGCTACCTACACCCAGGTGTAAGTTGCAGGTAATGTAGCCTCATAATATGTAGTCTATGGCAGGGGTGGGCAACCCGCGGCTCTGGAGCCACATTTGGCTCTTTCATCCCTCTGCTGAGGCTTCCTGTCGCCGGTCGCCACCCCAATTTTAAGAGGAGCTTCCAGTTAGGGAGAAAAAAGCTATGGCAAGGGGCGGGTTTTCCGGTCACCTCCACAATTGATAGGGTTTTTGGTTAGGACAGGTAGAGGAAAAAGGACACCGTGCTAGGAGGAGATTCTATGGTGGGGGAACCGGACTTCTGGTTGGCTCCAGAATTGAACGGGAGGCTTCCAGCTAGGACCTTTGTGGCTCTTTGAATGTTTAAGGTAGCTGAGCCCTGGTCTATGGTATGAGAGCGTATATCATTGAAGAATGTTAGCAGGTCCTTGCTGAATCAGACAAAGGGCTCTCAAGTACAGCTTTTGTCTTCTCAGAGAGATCTAGGACAATTGTCAGGGGCAGGGGTGGGATTCAAAAATTTTAACAACCGGTTCTGTGGGTGTGGCTTGGTGGTCATGTGACTGGCTGGCCGTGGCCAACTCAACATCATTCACATCAAGGCACACATCTCCTCGCCTGGCCTCTCATGACTGTGGGGATGCTGCAACAATCGTAACTGTGAAAAACAGTCATAAGTCACTTTTTTCAGTGCCATTGTAACTTTGAATGGTCACTCCACACAAGCAAAGTACCAGCAAAGGAGGGGAAAAAAAACTCCAGAGACGTTCCTGAGACAGGAAGTCTAGTCCTGCCAAGAATGTAATAAGGGTTAACGGAGAGGCAGTTTCTGTAAGCAACCCCAGAATGTTTCCTTCCTGCCTTCCTTACAGGATTAGGCCAGTAATTTCTTCTAACAACCGGTTCTCCGAACTGCTTAGAATGTTAACAACCTGTTCTAGCGAATAGGTGCGAACCTGTAGAATCCCACCCCTGGTCAGGGGCCACATTGTCATGCCCATTTCTCCTTGGGCCCCTCACCCAAGTTGACCCACCACAAACTGTCATCTTTGACTGGCCCTCTGCCAGCACGCCTCCGCCGGCATTTCTGAGGCTCCTCTCCTGGCCACTTTTTCCTGAGCGATTCACCGAGGGATATTTGTCCCCAGGTGATTCACTGCATGGGATGACTACATTTAACCTTCCACGTTTAATCATTTCAAAGCAACTTCTCTGTGTGAAATCAAGGTTGCATGCACCCTATCTACACCCCATTAGTAGAAATGAACTTGGTGGTGGGTATCGGTGGCTGTGTTTGCCTTCACCTGCAGCTGAGGTAGGACAAGATAAAAAACTATTAAGGTAGCAAGTAGTTAAGGCATTACTGTCCACAATTCCAAGAAACGTTTAGCAAAAGCCTATGAAGGCCTAGCGTATGAAAACATTTAAGCTTTCTTATTTTGTAACACATGATGAATTACTTTATGCATGTTATAATTTATTAATGCTATGTGTTATTCAGTGTGCATAGAACTGAAACCACAATGCATTGTTGTTTGTAGTACTTATATATAAGATGCAGTTCTGGAAGAATTCCCAGTGCATAAGAAATAGGAGGTTTTTGTTTTATAGTGATGCAATGGGGAACGAATACCAAGCGGCATCCCCTGTTGCGCACTGCGCGCATCCCTTCCCTCTTCTCCTTCAACAGCTCCATGCATGTCACCCAAATCTGCTCAGGCAGTGGGCAGGCATGGAGAGGAGGGCTGCAGAGGAGAATGGAAACCCATTGGCCAACAGCCTCTGTTCCTCAGGCAGATGGATGGTTGAATATCCTTGGACCAAATCTACCTGGTTTCATTCCTCATATGATAACCCAATCCCTTTCTTTCTGTTGGCTACAAATAATTGGCTACAAATTGACTACAAATTGGGTGATCTAAGAGGAGGGGATCTAGTACAGGTAGTCCACAACTTACAACCATTTGTTTAGCGACTGTTTGGAGTTACAATGGCACTGAAACAAGTGACTTATGACTGGTTTTCACACTTACAACCGTTGCAGTCTCCCCATGGCCATGTGATCAAAATTCAGGCGCTTGGCAACTGGTATGTATTTATGACGGTTTCACTATCCCAGAGTCGCACGATCACCATTTGTGACTTTCCTAAACCGCTTCCGACAAGCCAAGTCAATGGGAGAAGCCAAGATTCTTCTTAAGGATCACCCGATTCGCTTAATAACTGTGCCCCCCCCCCAAAAAAAGGTTGTAAAACGGGGCACAACTCCCTTAACAACTGCCTTGCTTAGCAGTAGAAATTTTGGGCTCGATTATCATAAGTCAAGGACTACCTGTATTTAAACCATCTGTCGGAAGCAGCATCATGTCCATATGTAAGCAGGTCAGAGGAAATAGACAATCTAGCAAATAGGATGGAGCTGATGGTAGCACATGCTCAGAGTTAAGTAAGGATAGCTTGTCTCAAAAGCAAGACTTGCAATCTATTAACTAAAGTGGGAGACCTATAGATCAGATCGCATTAATCTTTGGTACAGCTTGCCTTCTTTAAGGGAAGAGAAGCTTAAATGTTTTCTTTTTTAAAATCAATGCTTTCTATAAGCATACAGTACATTTTCCAGTTGCTGAATGATTGGCGGGGGGCAGCAGGAGGCGTAGGACAGGGGGGTAGTGGCAGTAGCTGCCCTCCACAATAGTCCCAGGTTCTCATGTGGCCCCTTGGGAAAATTAATTGCCCACCCCTGCATTACAGGAAGATGAAATCTAGTCCCCAATTTTGTCTGTCGCCCCTAAAGTCCAATTTAAATGGAGGCCTGTGTTAAACTGATATTTTAAAATCCCGGGTGTGAGCCCTTGGGAACCAGGCCGCAGAAGCAGGACGGGCAGTGGGCGATTGTGTGCATGGGTGCTCCATTTGCGTAAGCAGCAGGCTGTGTGCACGCCGCTTGCACAGATGGAGCTGCGTGTGCATGCTTGCCGGCATCTCACACGGAACCATGTGAGCGACGCACGTCGCTCGCCCACACGTTCTTCGTCCGCAAAAGAAGTGACCCGGTGGCCGGGCTTGCTGGACTGGGTGAAGGCAGGCTTTTTCGGGAGGATGGCTACTGGTAGCTGGAGTGACCGTTACAGGCAAGCAAGGGTACACGAGGCATGTGGGTCGTATCGCTCGCTCTTTTCGGCCGCGAAAGAAACAGCCCGGTGGCTAGGTGAGGGGCGTGAGGGGCGGGAATTAACACACCCCATGAAAAGAAGGCCTAGCTGTTTTTCCAGGGGTCAAACTAAAATAAGACCTGGCTGTGTTTTATGAGAAACACACAATAGTCTGTAACCGTAATAAAAACTGATTGTCTAGGGCTCCTGTAAAAAGCATCGGCTTACTCAGACAAAATACCTACATCGTGATACGTTAATCGGGCTTTTAGAGAAGCCACTTACAATCCTTTATTAGTGTCACAGTTTGACTATTGTGATGGCTGCGAGTTTTATTGTACTTTTTTTTTTCTTCAAATGTTGCTGTTAGTCACTATTTCTAGACCTGAAGCCACTTACTGTGCTTTTGGATCTCAAGAATCTTTCGAGACTATAAATGTCTGAAAATCTAAAATGTACTGAACTGAATTACTGGTAGCCCTCGACTTACCGCAGTTCGTTTAGTGACCACTCAAAGTTACAATGGCACTTGAAAAAAGCGACACGACCATCCTTCACACCGCTGTTGCCACATTCCTGAGGTCATGCGATCAAAATTCAGGTGCTTGGCATATCTATGCTCAGATGCTCATATTTATGACGGTTGCAGTGTCCTGGGGGTCACGTGATCACCTTTCGCAACTTTCTGATGAGCAAAGTCAATGGGCATGCTAGATTCATTGAACAACTGTTAACGAATTTAACAACTGCAATGATTCGCTTAACAACTATATCTAGAAAGGTCATAAAATGGGGCAAAACTCACTTAACAAATGTCTCACTTAAACAGCCTAAATTTGGGGCTCAATTGTGGCCGTAAGTCGAGGATTACCATGTTGTAATGTTAGAATTTAATATTAAGTCTCAATATTTTTTGTTTGGGTTTCTCACGGAAATATTTATTTCATAAAATGTGAAAAGTCCAATGAGAATTTCTAATGAGAAATCAAGTTTTTCTGTAATTTGTGTAAACTCGCTAAAGTACAACTTCAGTCAATAATATCTTTTATGGAAATAAATCGACATTCCATGTAAATTTAAGAAGTACGCCTTTTTTTATTTGAAATGATCATAAAATACCGTTGATAGAAATGATGTTGTGCTAGTGATTTATCCTTTGTGGCTGTTTTCATTTATCCAAGATGCTCTACGACAAAAAAAACACCAGGAAATGAATTACAGATTTTGTTTAACAGATTAAACAGATCTAAAGCCAAGCGTTACAATGATAGAATAAAGTTCCCTATTGCTTTGGAGCCCCAATGTGGAACTTCTTAGCAAGAACTCTTTACAAATCTTTTGCAACTTTTGAAAGTATTGCAAAGAGGTATTTGTGTTTGCGCTCTTGCATCGTCCAAAGCAGTTTTTGGAGATCCAGTCTCAAATCTTGCAGAATTTTAGTTTTTTACATCTCATCCACACGCCCATTTTACCACACATTGCTTCTTTCTACCCAAGGTAGTGGGAGAAAATCACGTTGGCAAAAATCATAGTGTGCCCATATCTTACTATTAATGTGTCTCTGGAATGGAGCCATGCCCTGCTGCTACCTATACAACTCCACATGTCCCTGTAAGAACAGTTATTGGCCATTTTCTCTGGCTGAATGCCATCAACCAGGGTAAAGCCACCACATTTTCCATGTGGAATATGTGCCAGGGGGCTGGTTTTAGATCCCAGCACATTGCATACATGATCTTGCAGCAAGAGTTCAAGGAACAGGATTCAGTAATGTTCAGCTATGGGGTGCCTTCCAGTATATAACACATAATTTCTCCCAAATCCTTATGGACTGGTCTAGGGGTCGGCAACTTTGCACCCATTTCCCACAGAAAAGAAAACACCGGGAGCCACAAAACCCTTCCCATTGCCTGACTATTTCCTGAGTGGCCACAAAACTAGCATATGTAGTTGAATTAAACATTGTTTTCTTCTGAAACTTTTCTTGGATTTATCCATGGTTGGCCTACCGGGGGTCAAAAAGCTAAAAAAATCGTGTGCTGGTGGGTATCGCACATTGGCGATTGTGACACATATTTTGAGTGACGGAGCCGCAGCAGAGAGATGAAAGAGCCACATGTGGCTCCAGAGCCGCTGGTTGCTGACCCCTGGACTGGTCAATCAACCACTAAGTCACCTGCCTATCAGATAAGAGGTTCTCTTCTGTTTTCCCTATGTATTTCTGGGCTGTAACTCCTTGAACCAACTTCAGCCTGCCTCAACAATGGGCTGCCTACAATATAGAGGTTCTGTATTGTAGACATGTCCCAACCAAAGAGTGTGTGAGGTTTCTTTGCATTATATTAAACAAGCGGATGAAATCTTACTGTTTCATAGCAGTATAGCTGATGCTAGAATGGAGATACATGGATAAAAGGGTCTAATTTGTTACCATTACAGTTGTGACCTGCGCTTTTGACATCACGGTCAAACTAACATTCCATTTTTCTGGCCATCTTTCCCTTCCTTGATGTCCTCCAGGTACATTGGGCTAGAATTCACAACTCCTAGCTAGTTTCAGGAAGGCTGCTTTAGACTGCCACATGAACAAACCTGTCTTTCCACATGGACAGTGCTGGTTCCAAAAGTAGCATTCCCATAGCTGGTGATATAATACTGTGCAGGAGCCTCAGTTCTGCTTGGTTTGTTTGGAACTGTGAAAAAAAATAAAATGCTTAGTAATATTAGGCCTTTTCAATAACGTTATGGCATGCTATGGCAGACATATGTGCTAGGCCAGGGGTCGCCAACCTTTTGGACGGCAGGGACCACCAAATTCATAATTTTAGATCCCAGGGACCACTAACTGGTTATGTGGGTGTGGCCTAATTCATGGGTGTGGCTTGGTGGTCGTGACTGGCTGGGCATGGCTTGTATGTAAATATTATAAATATTTATATAAATATTGAATTTTTTATTTAAAAAAAGAGCAACTTTTACCCAAAATCAGGCAAAGCAGGCAGACAGATTGAGTTGCTCACAGAATCACAGATTCATTCAGAGATCTATCTATCTGCCATCGGCTAGCTCAGTCTGTCACATAAAATTTGCTTGCAAGCAAACTCACAAAATTAACTCACAACACACCATGCATGTAAATATTGAATTTTTATAAAAAAAGAGCAACTTTTACCCAAAATCAGGCAAAGCAGGCAGATTGAGTTGCTCACAGAATCATTCAGTGATCTATTTATCTGCCATCGGCTAGCTCAGTTTCTCAAATTTGCTTACCGTGAGTCTGCACTGAATTTGCTTGCAAGCAAACCTTCAGTCCTAAGGGAGGTTTGGCTGTGCTGAGCTGAAGATCTAAAGACTAGCTAGAAAGCAAGAAATCCAACCATTTCCTGCTTCCTAGCTAATCTAAATCTCCCAGCACAGCAGAACAGATAATGGTCAGAAAAAGGAAAAATAGCAATTTAACAGGCAAGTTTACAGGGTAAGGAGTGAGTGGGCGGGGAGGGTTGCCTCGGGCCATGTGGGCGGTGCAGCCTTGTGTTTCTGTGCAGCCTGGATTAATTGCTTTGTGAGGGTGCTCTGGGGGTGAGATTTCTCTGCGGCCCACCAAAATTTTCTCATGGCCCACCAGTTTGCTGCGGGCCGCCGGTTGGCAACTGCTGTGCTAGGCTGCCTCCCTATCTGTCAGCAAGCCTGCTGCTTGCTGCCATGGTAATGGAGGGGAGGGATTGGTGGAGAATTTTTCACTGCAGCTTTTGCTTATCTCTCCAAGGTCATTTCTTCTAGCTTTGGTATGCAGCAGCCAGAGACAATGTACTTGAATCAAAGACTTTTCTCAAACTATTCTTGGCTGGTGCTTGTCTTCTGGTTGCCTAGCTACAGGGGTGTTGGGCACTATGGTTTGTTTCAATTTGCTGCTTCCTGTGCTTTTGCCCCAGATCTTGCCAGAAAATTGTTGCGTTCAGTTCTCTCCTAGTAAAAGTACTTTTTTTTTCTGAATCTATGAAGCCAAGGGTTTTTCTTTCGTAGGAATTAGACAGAGACAGCCCTGACATTAGGCAAGATCTGCTTTAACGGTCAACCCAGAGACCGCAGTCTACCATGCAGTGGTGGGATTCAAAAAATTTTACTACCCATTCTGTGGGTGAGGTTTGGTGGGCGTGGCAGGGGAAGGAGACTGTAAAATCTCCAGTCAGAGGTGGTATTTGCCAGTTCTCCAAACTACTCAAAATTTCCGCTACCGGTTCTCCAGAACTGGTCAGAACCTGCTGAATACCAGGGAACCAAGCATCCAATGTCCAACGACGCTTTATGGTTATCTCAGAAAAATATCAAGTCACTGGGCTTTACATAGGGGATAAGAGGCAAAACTTCCATTAACCAGTTCAGAAAACTTTACGGTGGCAAGATTACTAGCTCAGTCTTTTAAGATATTTTCTTTAGTTTGAAGTGCAATCCCCTATATTGGAATAATTCATGATTATTATGCTTTAACCCTCCAAAACCGATGAGCTATAGTCATTATAACTGAATTGCAATAAAATACTACAAATAAGCTAAACACAGACAGCACCATGGAATTTTGTATCTAAAAGCTTTTTGAAAAAAACATACCTAAGCCTATATTTTTCTGGACATTTGCCATAAAGGGCAACTCCCCATTTCATCATGCAAGCATTCTAGCTTATTGAAATAACAACATTAACATTGTTATTTAAATAATTAAGTCAGAGTATTGACATTAATGGCAAATATTCCAACCTCACCTTTGGGTAACAGGAGCTCTGTTTCAAATCGATTGGCACAAATTCCACAAGTTTTAATGTCTTCTTTGAACCTGGAATGAAGTTTGATGAGAAACAGGACCAAGCACCACTAAATAGATTGGCCCCTAGTGTAAGATAGGTTGTTACTAAGGTGTCAGAGTAAGGACAAGATCAAAGTTCAAATCACTATCCAAGCATGGAATTTACTGATTGACCTAGGTCAGTTACACCTATTTCACACCAGTTGATCACTAAAATAAAGGATGGGGTAAAATGAGGAGAGATCCTGATATAGCTCATCTTGAACTTTCAAAGAAAAAAGCATTAAAACAATTCTTAAAATGTGGGTGGGTTTGTTTGTTTGAGGTCAAGTTTGCTTCGGTTACCAAAAGCAATTTTTGCTAATGCTTTAAACATGGAAGTTTGAAAACCTATAGAAGCACAAAGAAATATTTAAAATCCCACTGCTGTAATTTGGGAAAAATACAAATGAAAATGTCATTTGAGCAATGATCCACTATTCTTTCCTATTGCTATTCCTGGGTAAGTAGAAATCCTTCAGAAATGGGGTGGGCTAGTCTTAATTGTACAGACCAATTTTGTGGTATGGTGATGGAAAGAACAGGAAAGATTTAAGTTTGAATCCCCAGTGCAGCTTGAGGCTTCTATTGACCCCTTTGAGATAGGCACAGATTTCAGGCTGACTTCTTAAGAAGGTCGCTTTGGAGACCTTGTATTAGTAACATAACATCTCCAAATAAGACATTTGAATAAGAATATGAAAACATTATAATCTCCTAGCTTGACTATAAATATATCCTCTAGCTTAGGTTTAACAAGGTTTTTAAAAAAAAAAAGAATGAAGAAGCCCTATCTATAAGCTGAAGAAAGAACCTGATATAATAGCCATCCTGCAGCACAGCTTTTTCTGATCTAGCGCCATCCACATTCCCTAATCTCCAGTCTAGTTTGGGCTGTGCTGGCTGGGAACCATGGGAGAGGAGACTTAAAACATTTCGAAGGGAGCAGATTCACAGAGATGGATGCACCAAAGAGAGAGGGTTATAAAAGTGGTATAGAAGTGAAACCTTCAGTAACACTATCAGAAGAAATGCTTCAATGAAAGAAGCGCCTTATTTGAAAGATTTTGGAGGGTTTGTTTTTAAAGTCTATTTACAGGTTACAGAGCCATCCCTCAGTTAAGCTTAAGAAACAAGGATTCATAGCAAAGGATCTCAGCTGCGAATCCGCTTTGGAAAGAGAAATGTTATAGTGTATGTTTTCTGGATAAAGGCCAATATAGTGAGAACGAAGTAATTTAAACCAGGGGTCTCCAACCTTGGCAACTTTAAGACTTGTGGACTTTGCTTTGCTGGCTGAGGAATTCTGGGAGTTGAAGTCCACAAGTTGTCAAGGTTGGAGACCCCTGGTTTAAACAGCAAACTCTGAAAAACTTTACAGTCTTGGTTTTGCTTGTGCACAGCATGAAATACATACACAGTCATCTTATCATCCAGATCTGGCCAGACAAATTCAGCAGGACATCCGACTGTCCGGCAAGGAGCCTTTATGCAAAGATGGAGCCCAGGCCATTCCTCCAGGAGTTTTTGGTTGATGGAGATGATTGTTATAATAAAGTCCCAGGTTAATTGGAATCCTGTAAAAGGCAACAGGGAGAAGCATTCAGAAGAGCCAGCCTTCTCCAACTTGGTGAATCCCAGATAGGTCTAATTTCAACTCCCATAGTCATCATCTAGTCCAGCCAAAGGCTGTGAGTTTGGGGGGAGCTGATATTTGATCCTGTTGGAGAGCCCCAAGCTGTAAAAAGCTGGCCTGAACTTTAAAGCAGATACTGATTAAACACCTTGTGCACAAAGGTGCAAGAGGAGCTCTTGGTTCATCATTGTTGAGAAGAATGACTGAAAGAAAGCAATAAATCCATTCTCTAAAATTGGTTCTTCAGTTCCACTGATTGGTTTAGGACAGGGGTTGAAGTCTGCCTCTAATCTGGGCCATCTGCTAAAATAAAGCCAGGTCATGGCACACACTTCAAAGTAAACCAGGAAGCCTGTAATTGTGGAGTCTGTCTGGCAAGAACAAAGAATGCTTATCCACAGGAGATAGGCATGTGTAAATCTTGTAACAATCCTGGCTAATTGGAAAGCTGATAAAAAGTAACACAAGTTAGCCAATTTGCAGACCTCAGCTAACAGTTAGGGATAGAGATGTCCTGCAGCAAATCAAATTTGTATTCGATAATTCCTAGGGCATTCATTAGCTCAGACTTGGGAATAGGGACAGCTAGAGACCAACAGAACAAATTGTAGAATTATTACTAAAATGTTTATTAGGTGATATTTCTTCTTATCTCACTTTGTCCCGCCTTCTCTTTTAGTGAAAATGTATAAAACTTGCTCAATCCTTTGTTCTTGGCTCTTGGCATTTTGACCAGGAGCCCTTTTCCTTGGAGTTACTCCAATAAAAAGCAAACAGAAAATCTGTGCCTCCTGTCTGGCGTCTCACCATTGGCTTTGGCACCAGGCTCAGACCCGAATTGGGGACAACACTACCACTATTTGTGTGTGGGTCCTTCGTTCTCCCATATTCAGCATTAGTGGGATTTGCCTGTATGAGAAACTGACTTTTTTCAGGTGGCATCCAGAGGTGGGGCTGATCCAGCAGTCATATGCCAGCCTCTCTCAAGAGGCAAAACTGTCGAACGGCTTCCTTCAACTGAGATCCCAGGAGCAATTTTGTTAACAATTACACAGATTCCAGCCTTAGATACAGGTAGTCAATGTCTGGAATACTCTACCTGACTTTGTGGTTTCTTCCCCAAACCCCAAAAACTTTAACCTTAAGACTGTCTACTATTGACTTCACCCTTTTCCTAAGAGGTCTGTAGGGGGTGTCCATAAGCGCACCAACGTGCCTACCGTCCCTGTCCTATTGTTTCTTTTATTTTTCCTATATGTACCCATTTCATGTGTTCATAACTATGTATATACTTATACCTATTATCTTGTAAGCGATTGACAAATGAAATCAAATAAATAAATAAAATAGTCCTTGATTTACAATAGTTCATTTAGTGACTGTTCGAAGTTACAATGGCATGGCAAAAAGTGTCTTATGACTGTTTTTCACATGTACGACCATTTCAATGTCCTCATGGTCATGTGATCAAAATTCAGACACCCGGCAACTGACTCATAGTTACGACAGTTACAGTGTTCCTGGGGTCATGTGATCCCCTTTTGCAACCTTCTGACAAGCAAAGTCAATGGGGAAGCCAGATTCATTTAACAACCATGTTGCTAGCTTAACATCTGCAGTGATTCACTTAACAACGGTGGCAAGAAAAGTCGCAAAATGGAGTAAAACTCAGTTAACAAATGTTTCACTTAGCAACATAAATTTTGGGTTATTGTGGTAGTACATTGATTACTACCTGTACACTGTTTTGTTCTACTATCATTTACATTACATTTGAACCAAAAAAGCAATCAATGCCTGCGTACATACCAGCTGTCTGTCCTGGCTTTCTGCACCTGAGCTCAATGTAGCTGTAACCTTTTTGGTTATTTGCTTTGATCAGTAAAGGTGTGCCACTACTTATGAGCAGGCAAATGGTTTTAGCAACCCAGTGAGTTGAAAAGAAGGAACAAGCTTTCACCATGAGTCTGGGAAGAAAGAAGGGGGGGGGAAACAGTTAGTGCTTTCAGATCCTATTTTAAGATGTTCTTTTTTCCCCAAGCATTACCGGTACTGCTAAACTGGGTCTGGGCAGTTGCAACAATAATCAGTTCAAGAGAGGACTAAACAGCCCATATTCTGGAGCAGGGGTATCAAACTCAAGGCTTTAATCCGGCCTGAGGGGCCAGCCTGGGAATATCAAAGGACTGGCCCACAGTGCTTCTGGCAGCTAAAACAGGCTACGTGCGCCTCCCATGCACCTCATTTTCACTCTCCATGGCCTCCTGCAGCACTCTGCCAGCTGAAAACAGGCTGAAAAGTGGGCCAAAAACAAGCCAAAAAAATAGCCTGAAAACAGGCCCGAAAATGACTGGCAGAGTGCTGCAGGAGGTCATGGAGGGTGAAAATGGGGCACAGGACACACACACACCCCCCCCCCCCCCGTTTTTGCCGGCAGGGTGTTGCAGACGGCATCCGTCCAAATCCCCCTCCCACTCTTCCCCTTCACCCCTCACCTGCGGAGAACTACAATGCTCCTCCATCCCTCAAAGAAATCCCACACACTTTACACACTTGTTCTAGAGAGTCCCTAATGCTTAAAATCAGTGGGATGTAGTTATTAATGGTGGCTTAGGGCTTGAGAGATCAGATTCAACCTCACACTCAGCATGGAAGCTCCTTGGAGAATTCTGGTCCAGTCACTAACCCCTAGTGTTGAGAAGAAAACCGGAGGTAGAAATGCTCTGTAGGTGGCTTTGAGTTCTGGGAAGGAAGGGGGGTTACTGTGTGAAGAAGGCTATTGTATCTTTCAGAAACATCCTGCAATCAACCCCTAGACTTGAGGCTTCTTGCATGCAATCGTGGTGCAGAATTTAGTAGCCTGGTTAATATCAATAGGAACATGCAGAATTTAGTAGCCTGGAAATATCAAAGGACCAGCCCGCAGTGCTTCTGGTGGCTAAAACAGGCTGTGTGCGGCCCCCATGCGCCTCATTTTCATCCTCCATGGCCTCCTGCATGTTCCGCTGTTGTATTTGCAAAATCATCATCCATTGACTTTTCTGCAGATTAAAGTGGCTCTCTATTTGACAGCCTGCAGGGAAATACTCTTAACAGAGCAATAGGACAGATTGCTTTAAAGACAACAGAGTATCAGTCAAACTACCAACACTAAGAAAAACCCTCACCGTTTTATAAGATACGGGTGGCAAATTGCCAGGAATTGTCCAGTAAAGAGTGGTGACCTCATCCTTGTATTTTTGACCCCTGCTTGTGCAAATCAACTGCCCCCCCTCCCCGTTCAAAGAGGCCCTCAGTTGTAGATATCGGCCACAGGATGGCTTGTCATTATCTATGACACTTAGCAGATAGTATTCAATACCTTTGGAAGAAGCTCTCTGGAATCTCAGGAGAAAAGTACAAGCGAATATGCAAGTCCTCTTTGTGATCTTCTCCCCACTTTGTTGAAACCTCCTGACTTTGATTGAGATAGTTAGGAAATAAGTAGTGTGTGTCCTTCTCTAGGTTTGGCAGAGTTTCCCATGGCTCCCCAGGGACAAATGTTCTGGCTCTAGGATTAAGTCCTCCTACATTTCTGATCTCCAGGCAGATCTCAAAGTGTTCAAGTAGGCTGAAAAGTTTCCCCTTCTGTAATCTGCTTCCCACCATTTCCTCAAAGATGTCTACCATGTTGTCTAAAGAAAGCTGCTGCTTGAGCAAAGCTCTCATGGCTTTCTGGCATAGGATGGCTTTGGATTTAAACATCAATGCCCAATTGTCCCGGTCTCGGATGGTGGCATGTTCTCCTATCAAGATGTCCACAGAAATGCTCTCCAGCTGTTGCATTAGGCCATACCTCACAAGAGTCTAGAAAAACAGAAATATATTTGCCTAAGTAGGCTCACAATTGTGTTAGTGGAGTTGACTGAAGATAAATGATGTTAGTCTTGACTGAAGACTTACAAGTAAACTTCTTGGTGTCTTGTAATAGATTGTTTTTTGATTCCTAAATATTTAATCATACCATTAATAAAACCATTCAGCTTCTGTCCTGTCTCCTTATAAATTGAGATCTCAACTTAGAAACAAAAATAATTGGGCTACTCTTCCATTCTCCCTGTCCTCCCACCCTGAGACCACACTTTTGTATCTGACCCTTGGTCTGAAGTCTGAAGCATGCCCTAAAATAGTCCACTGCCTTTTAGTACTTGTTGGAAGTGGAAAGTAAAGGAAACATGGTACCTAACTAAGTTAAGCTGAAACATACAGAGAAACTTTCAAAAGTTGTAAGTGGTAAGGGTATATAGTTAAATTAATACATATGTTCAGCTATTCCAGGGCTGTCAAACTCCTGGCCTGCGGGCCAGATGTGTCACGTGCTGGCCCCGCCCCCACCCAGTTTATTGAAGGAGAGAAAAAGTCCCGATACGTCACATGACGCTGACGTGGCGATGTGAGTTTGACACCTCTGAGCTATTCCATCTTGCAACATAATCTGGAATTGTATTTTGAATTCCTTCATCGAACTGGATGGCTCAACCATTTAGCTGGCGTATCTGGACAGAATGCCCACTTCTGTTCTGACTAGCTGATGACTACAAACCATTGGTTTTCTGCGGTAAGATACAATCAGACTGCCAAGTGACCATCCATACTTCAAAATTATGAACCCCAAGCATTGATCTTGTTTAAATAAAGATACTGGGTAGAAACTTAATACATTACACCCATACAACTTGGCTTCCATCTGCCTCTCCTACTTCACATGATGTTTGATTCTCTTCTGCGAGGAGTCTCTCAACCCTCAGATAGTTTGTCAGAAAGCTAAGGAAGAAGAATAGAGTAGGAAAAATAGGATTCCTGCCCTCCCCACCACCCAAATGGAAGCATTTTTCTATGTGAAAGTCACCTCATGGGCAGTTTTGTTTTAACTGCAGTTCTCACTCTATTTTGCTTGTAAAAAAATAGAGGAAAATGGGATAAAAGCATTTACCAATACACCATTGGGTTAATTCAGAGACAACACGGAAGACAATGTAGAGGCTATTCATCCCTTTCCCAAAATCCAGCACTTTTCATTCATATCAATAATAATCTTTGCTGAATGGGACTTGGGAGAAAACATAAGGTGAAATTTTGGCAGCTCCTGCTGAGTCTAGGGAAGATTTTAATGGTTTACATTTGCTTGTTTTTTACTTTGTAGCACTCCACAAAGCCTCTGTTACGATTTGGAGCAGGTTATACATACGATAGAACCATTTTTTAAAACCTGTGGTCTGTGAAAATTTGGCTTCTAGCTAACTTCAGAGAAGCAATGGCCCTCCGGTGCTGGAGGAAGCTTCTAAGGTGGAATCAAGGAGGTACTCACTTTGAAGAGAGTGATCAGAACAGTTGGACGTAAGAACAGTGTGTCCTTCAGCTGCTCGATCTTTTCATACCATACAATTAATCCAATGCGATGAAGGTATCTCAAAATATCCCGCAGAAGTTCTCTATCCAAATGATACCGGCGAAAGAGCTTGCTGTGTAAAAGGTTGAAATTCACCATCCCTAAGGAATCAGAAGAGCACTTGTTGAGAACAGCTTCGAGAGACAATCTCAGGGGGTCAACCAACAATACTGTATGTTCTATGCAGTGGTGGAATTCAAATACTTTAACAATTGGTTCTCTGCCCTAATAATTTCTTCCAAAAACCAGTTCACCAAACTGCTCAGAAAGTTAACAACCGTTTCTCCCGAACTGGTGTGAACTGGCTGAATCCCACCACTGGTTCTGTGCTCCAAGCTGCACATAGTCCTCAACTTACAACAACTGAACCCAAAATTTATTGTCAATTCATAAAACATTTTGTATACACATTTTATAGTTGACAACAGAAAGAAGGGGGAGGGGAGTTTCAAAAAGCAGGCAGCAGTGTGGAATCGAAAGTACATTCAATTCATATTTTCTTCAAGGACTGATTAGATGACTGAAGCTTCTGCCACACAAAAATCTAATTGGAGAGCATGATTGATGACTCTTGGCTATGGACATTTTTCGTTGGATGATACACCCAGAGCGGTGGGGGGGAAAGCAGGATCAAGAGTGACAGTGAATTACGTATCTCAGAGTTGGCTACGCCCAAGTTAATGCCAGACGTAGAATGTTAACTTCAAATAAATCCTTTTTAGTTTTGGGAGTGAGGCTCGAGGCTCATGATTTAATTGGAGTAACTGCTGGAATCCTGACATTTATGTTGTTCAGTGAGACAGTTATTAAATGAATTATGTCCCATTTTATGAGTCTCTTGCCACAATTGTTAAGTGAATCACCACTGTTGTTTAGTAACACGGTGGTTAAGAGAATCTGGCGAATTCTGACTTTGCTTGTCAGAAGGTTGCAAAAGGTGGTTGTGTAATCCCACAACCGTCCTAAATGTGAATCAGTTGCCAAGCGGCTGAATTTTGATCACATGACCATAGGGATGCTGCAATAGTTGCACGTGTGAAAAACGATCATAAGTTCCTTTTTTCAGTGCCGTTGTAACTTTGAACGGTCACCAAATGAACTGTTTGTAAGCTGAGAACTACCTGGACTTCTAAATTAGTAGAATCAAAAGAAAAATAAACAGGACCAATTCCACTAGGTGAACATTACTTTGGCGCTTAAATTAGCTTGCCCAGCTTTGATCTCTGATATTCTGTTATAAACACAGGTTTGAGAATCGCAAGATAATGTTATCAATCTATGCATTAAATTCTGAACATTTAGGATAAAGGTAAAGGTTCCCCTCACACATATGTGCTAGTTGTTTCTGGCTCTGCGGGGTGGTGCTCATCTCCGTTAAAAACCAAAGAGCCAGTGCTATCCGAAGACATCTCCGTGGTCATGTGGCGAACATGACTAAACACCGAAGGCGCATGGAACACTGTTACCTTCCCACCAAAGTGGTCCCTGTTTTTCTACTTGCATTTTTCATGCTTTCAAACTGTTGGCAGAAGCTGGGACAAGTAACGGGAGCTCACTCTGTTAAGCGGCACTAGGGATTCGAACTGCCTAACTGCCAACCTTCCTGATCGATAAGCTCAGTGTCATAGCCACTGAGCCACCGTGTCCCTTTTAGGGTAAGGCTCTTTTATTGAAGTCTTGTTGCTGTTGAAATTATATGCCTTTGGGGAAGATGGGATGTTGTCATTCCCAATAACTTAGTGTAAGAGTTTGAATTTATAAATTTAAGTGGGAAATGTGGGCCTCTTTTTTTTTTCCCCTTTCCACAGCATGTTTAATTTATTATGGCTGCCTAAATTAAAGAGAGAGCGCCAGTTTGTTGTAATGGTTAAGGCATCAGGCTAGAAATGGAGAGGTGGTGACTTAGGCACAAAGCCAGCTGGGTGACCAGTCACTCTCTTTCAGCCCTAGGAAGGAGGCAATGGCAAACCACTTCCAAAAACCTTGCTAAGAAAACTACAATAAATCTATAATCTATACAGTCACCAGGAGTCCCCCCCAAAAAATGACTGAAAGGTGCATACATGTCAGTGGTGGAATTCAAATTTTTTTTACTACCGGTTCTGTGGGCGTGGCTTCATGAGTGTGGTGTGGCTTGGTGGGTGTGGCAGGGGAAGGATATTGTAAAATGTCCATTCCCTCCCCACTCCTGGGGGAAGGTTACTGCAAAATCCCCATTCCCTGCCCCACCCCACTAACCTGCTTTCCAGTTCCTTTCTCCTGTGCAGGGCAACCAAAGAAGACCCAGCCAATCAGCTGGGACTCAGGAGGCAGAGAATAGATGGGGTTGGCAGGGCCAGTCAGAGGTGGGATCTCCCAACTGTTCAAAATTTCCTCTACCGGTTCTCTAGAACGGGTCAGAACCGGATGAATACCACCTCTGATACACGTACACCCAAGAATGTTTCCATGAGAATGTCATTCAAAGGGTTCTTTCTCTTTCTAATGTTCCAAATCTTTGAGCTCAGTCAATTAACTTTTTAGCCAATAGGCTTATAATTAATTAAATCCATTATAACATTGATTTATGTGGAATTTTTAATGTTTTTAAATAAATACTTGCCCTAAATAATCAGGAAACCTAGCGCTGAAATAAACTTAGCTTGCACAAAGAGGAGGCCAGCTGCCACCTATTGCCTCAGTGGCTCTGGGCACCCAAATGAACCCAGAGTTTTAATTTAGGCCTATCCAAACAGTTTAGAAACTATGCCCCAAATAATTCTTCCGAGCCACTTGTGGCTATAGAGCTGTGGTAAAATACATGTTCCATTGCATGTCTTCCAAAAGGGATTGATCCCACTTAACATCAACACAGTAAAGAGAAGAAAGAGGAAATCTATAAAATGCCACTAATAATATTTACTTGCCATGTTCAGTCATCTCTTCGTTATTTTGCATCATATCTACAATTGCTGCTTCTACTTGTTTATAGATAGGGGGGAGCACTTGGATGACATTGGGGAAGAGCTTTTCATTCTTGACGTGCTCCAAGATGATTTCTTCAAGTTTTTTAATGTCCAGGTAATCCATGCAGTTGACAGGAACAAGATCTAGAATCTAGAACAGAAAATGCATAGAGACAAAGAGAACTCCAAACAAGAAGAGGGGAATTACTAACACACTGCTTTGTGTCTAGCTTTTGTGGAAGCTTAGTGGAGAACGGAGTGGAATAGGAGATGTTGTACATGTTTATGTATAGCATGACAAAATTAGAACAAGTGCAAAATTTCTCCCTCTCTCCTAAAAGTGGGAGTCATTTGATTGGCTAGAGATTAGGACAAAAAAAAAAAAAAAGAACTATGTCATTGCTGCTTTAGATTGCTTCCTAAGATGTTTGGACAGTTGCATGCCAGCAGTTTCTGGGTCGAGATCATTGCATATGAAATATACATGACAACATTCCTTACTGTAAGGGTGCAATTTTCCATTTCTTTCACTCGAGTCCACTGGTCTTCATAGAACTCCGATTCCTCATTGTCTTCCAGGTTAGTTATAAGGTGACTTAGGATGGTCTGTCTCTCCTTCAGCATGGCCTGTATCTTGCACATGATATCCCTTTTCTTTTCTTCAACCTCCTCTTCTGAACAAGCATCCACATGAGTTCCCACAGGAAGGACCACAGAATTTGGCACTCGCATAAAGAGGTTGCTAATCCAAAATCCAACAAGATCCTTGAAGGAGTCATTGGTAAGCTGATACCTAAGTAAGTTAGGAATACAGTTGTTAAGTGAATCTTGCTTCCCCATTGATTTTGCTTGTCACAAGGTCACAAAAGGGGATCCCCTGATCCCAGGCCACTGCAACCGTCATAAATATGAGTCAGTTGCCAACCATCTGAATTGTGATCACCTGACCATGCAACAGTCATGTGTGTGAAAAATGGTCATAACTCATTTTTTGTCAGTGCTGTTGTAACTTCGAATGGTCACTAAGCAAACTGTTGTAAGTCGAGGACTACCTGCAGTCCCAAACATCGTGTAATACTGGCAACTCACCTGGAGTTTTTTTTCCCCTCAATTTCCTCATTAAAGTTATATACTATTACTTGTAAAATAGAGCAGAGCTCCTTAAGTAAAAAAAATCAAAGCAAGGAGACACTAGCTTAAACAGCCATCTGCTAGGCTTTACCCATCAGTGACACTATAAGCAATTCATTTCTCCTGAAATAAAAAAAAGGCTGGCCCAGAGTATCAAACATATTGTATGATCTCTCGGCACATTGCAAAATGAATTGAAGTGTAATAAATATTTTAATATATCCATCGTTGGAGGCAAAAGACAAGCCAACAAAAGTGAACCATTTAAAAAAAGATGTGCAGAAAAGTTTGAAGTACCTGTAACTAAATATGAGAAATAGAATTCTGGGTGTGCTCAATTGTATTTCAGCTTCAGACAGAAACATTAGGGAATCAAAATTCTGATTGCTATATTTTGCTTGCTGAGAATTCAGCTCAGATATCCATTGTTGAAAATTAAAAACTCTGGCCAGGACTGATTAAAAGGATACTTCTTGAAGTTTTGTGGTAAAGTTCCTTCTGGGTCAAAAAAATATTACAAGAATTAATTTTTAGTGTAAAAATTGTGTATTTTCTTCAGAAACTGGGCAGTGCAACCCTATGCCGGTTTATTGGAAGTGAGTTCAGATGGATTGGCATGACATTTAGCCTTTGATGCTCCACTTATCAGATACCACTAAAGTAGGAGGGAAATGGTGATTGTTGCCTGTATAATATCACCATCAAGAACCAGCCAAAGTTTAAGTATTTAAATCAGACTCATTTAGAACTAGATGTGTATATTTAGATCCATCTGTTCCGCTTAAATTAAAGGGAACTGTCATTGAAAAACATTAGGGCCAGGATGTTGGATGAGCCTGCTTGATGGTGTCAAGAATATAAATATGATTGCAGTTCAGCCTTGATTATATTGCCTCCTATCTTTGTGTTTTTTAATGAATTGGTTATTTTTTGTTGTGTGCCCTTTATTTGGGTGACCATATAAATCTCATTCGTAAATAAATACAATACATCTTCGCACTGGAAGCCAGAGAACACTTACTGGTGAAGGTTAATGACCAAGATGACAAGGGCCTGTGAAGTAATGAACATATGGTGGGTCACATAGTATTCCAGCTGGCCAGCAAAATCCCAAAAGAGGAAAGTGAAGCCTTGGATATGGAACTCGCTTATCTCGATCCCAACAGTGCGCTCTTCCTTGGATAGTCGAACAACTTGTCCCTGCTTTAAGCTTTTGCACACTGTAGATTTTCCTGCTAAGGATGTCCCCAAAAACATTGTCTTGACACGCTTGTCCTCCTCAGCTTGGCCGTTCTGTAGCTGGTTGAAGTAACTGATGATCTGTTTGATACCCCCTGCACATACTTCATCTGGAGGTTCCCTCAATGAGTTCCCATTTACTTTAAACATCTTCAGGGATAGCTCTGTGAACAGCTCTTTAGGGAGCTGACGCAAAAAGTTATTTTGCACATAGAACTCTTGCAAGTTCTTCAACTCCAAGACTACTTTAGGGATGGCTTGGAATACGTTTGTGGACAAGTTCAGATACTGGAGACAGTCCCGGCAGGAACTTAAATCCTTAGGAAGATTGCCTAAACAGTTGTTGTTAAGTCGGAGATGTTTTAACTTAGAGAGAGAAGAGAAGATCCCCTCTGGGATATCTTGGATTTGATTTTGATTGAGCTCGAGCTTCTCCAGATGGATCAGGTTCCGGATCTCCACTGGGAAATCTGTCATAGTATTTTTTGACAAAATCAATTTTTTCAGATTATAAAGGCTTGAAATCCCAGTGATATGTTTCAGCTTGTTCCGGTCCAGATTTAGGCTCTCTATACTGTTATTGAGTAGCACTTCGAACGGAAGAACTCGGAGTCTTAATCTGGAAAGGGTCACTTCATTGATCTCTTGCCCTGGGGAATGAAGAACATAACAGGATGTGATTATGGGAGAAAAAAGATGGAGGGGTCCTTGGTGCTCCCTGAACTTGGTTGTTTTCTTGCAGACATTTCATTACCCAAAACGAGGTAACACCATCCGTGTCGGTTCTAGAGAAAAGACTGTAACGTGCTCATTATTAGGAAAGGTCTGTATTAGGAAAGCCCATTTAGATAAGGGGTCTCCAACCTTAGCAACTTTAAGACTTGTGGATTTAAACTCCCAGAATTCCTCAGCCAGCTTTGCTTTGTCCACAAGTCTTAAAGTTGCCAGGGTTGGAGACCCCTGATTTAGTTGATGTAGTGGCAGTGGAGGAGGGGGAAAGTGGGTAAACTTTCAAGTTTTCTAAAATATGTGATTAAACCAAATGTTACATACAGCAGGCAGAGAAAGGGATGGGGAAAACAGAAATAGGAGGAAGAAAAGCAAGAGGACAGCGCAGTATTGGAAAAATGTATTATATGTAGCTTCAAACAGAATGGCGGGAAAGCTGCAGATAGAGATAATTTCAGATTAATCTGGACTGTCCCAAAAATTGGAGGGATGATAATAATAATAAAAATGGCTGATACTACCCAGTTTAAAAATAGAGCATCTGCTCTCAACTCAAGCCATTTGCTCAACAAAACACAAACATTCCTTGTAATTTTTTAAAAAATAGTAATAATATAATTATTTCTGTATAGCAACACTGAAAATAATTTATTCTGTACTATCCCAGTTCTGACAGTGCAATCCAAAATGGTATATTAAGGAACAACTTCTATGCGGCTAGTTGGGAATCTCACAATCACATGTAATGCGAGGCAAAGGATTGACTTTGCTGTGATTCATACAGCCTGATTTCAAGAATGCAGGTCAATGATAAGTAAATTATGATCATGAGCAGGTCCCTTTAGACAGCTGATTAAAATTACAGCTTAGTACGTGATGTGACTTATTGCTTAGCAATAGTAGGTGACTGGGGGTGGGATTCTACCAATTCGCACCTATTCGCTAGAACCGGTTGTTAACATTCTAAGCAGTTCGGAGAGCCGGTTGTTAGAAGAAATTACTGGCCTAATCCTGTAAGGAAGGCAGGAAGGAAACATTCTGGTGTTGCTTACAGAAACTGCCTCTCCATTAACCCTTATTACATTCTTGGCAGGACTAGACTTCCTGTCTCTGGAACTTCTCTGGAGTTTTTTCCCCCTCCTTTGCTGGTACTTTGCTTGTGTGGAGTGACCATTCAAAGTTACAATGGCACTGAAAAAAGTGACTTATGACCATTTTTCACACTTGCAACTGTTACAGCATCCCCACAGTCATGAGAGGCCAGGCGAGGAGATGTGTGCCTCGATGTGAGTGATATTGAGTTGGCCACACCCAGCCAATAACATGACCACCAAGCCATGTCCACCCAGTCACATGACCACCAAGCCACGCCCACCACCTAAGCCACGCCCACAGAACTGGTTGTTAAAAATTTGAATCCCACACCTGCATGTGACCATGACTTATTGCTTAGCAACTTGCATGAATCCAATTGAAAAAAAATCACTTTCAATAACTGATAAATATATAAGCATATGTTAGTTTGACAATGTGAAAATTGATATAAACTGTGAGTAAATGACTATAAAAGAATAGCACAAAAGATTTGCAACCAACTGACACACTGTATGTATATAAAATGGAAGATGGTTTTATGTTTTGTATGCGTATGTTTGTCTTTAAAAAAAATAAAAACTTTTTTTTAAAAAAGAAAAAAATCACTTTTTAAAAAGTTGCATAAAAATTGCTACAGCCCAGCCTGTAAAAAAAACGGATGGGCAACTCTTGGCCCACATGTGTGCCCTAGTGGAAGTATCCAGGTAGTATAAGACTGCAGACACCTAGACCATCTCTCACCTAATCTTCTCAACTAAACGTAGCAATTAATAGGAATTGAAGATTGATACTTACTAGGTCTGTGCTCGGACATATTTTGGTCTCTGCTCCCTATTTGTCAAGCAGCAGCTGTGTCCTTGCTTTCTATTTTCATTTCCCGAAATCTTTTCATTTTGAAGCTTGAACTCCACGTTCCCCCTCCCTATTTCTAAATACTGTATAGCCCCTCCCTTCTCTTTGTGCAAGTCAAGGGAAATGAAAGAGGAAGAACTGGATCAAGGGCAGACTGATGGTTTTCTCTGATAAAAAAAATGCTCCCACCACTTCCAGAAAAATAATGCCTCCAAATTTAACAAAAAACAACAACCATCATTTCATACGTTCAGTTGTTAACACTTCAGTTGTTAACACTATTCTTTCTTAAAGCTTTGGTTTCTTTTCAAATGTCTAATCTTACCAATTTCAGCTATTGCCATGAAAATTTAGGCATTTGAGAGATCATCTGACCTAGGCCGAGAATCCGTTGATTTTCTTGGTAGAATTAGGTTTTACTTTTATCTTTGTGGTTGGTTTGAGAATACATCATAGAAGACAGATTGCTTGTGTATACAGTGTGTATGAGTATTTGGGGAGGGACGAGAATTGTTTGATAGGTGGATTCTTTTAGTAAGGTGACAGATGGTACTACATGCAACTCTTATGTTTGGTATTCTCCGCTTGCATTGTGTCCATTGATTGTGGTATCAAAATTCTGAAATTCGTCGATCAGAAGACAGTGAATCTATTATGTGCAGAGAGGGGAGAAAAGACAAGAATAGCATGTTGAAAGTAAGGTTCTTCTTGTGTCAACTCCATTTTTTACAACAAATGCCTACATGGGACTTGTTATTTTCACTTTAGAGGCATCATTTTAACATGAGCAATTTAAAGAATGATCCTATGAGCGTTTGCCAAGAATACTATCGAATGTGTTTCCAAGTAGGAATTGATAAAATGGCTAGATTATTTTGATGAGCAGAAGCAACAAAGAATATTTGGGTTCCATATCTCAGCTAGGCAAGATGAGAACTTTCTGTAGGTGTTCGCAGGGGTGGGATTCTACCGGTTCGCACATATTCTCTAGAACCGGTTGTTAACATTCTAAGCAGTTTGGAGAATTGGTTGTTAGAAGAAATTACTGGCCTAATCCTGTAAGGAAGGCAGGAAGGAAACATTCTGGTGTTGCTTACAGAAACTGCCTCTCTGTTAACCCTTATTAAATTCTTGGCAGGACTAGACTTCCTGTCTCAGGAACTTCTCTGGAGGTTTTTTCCCCCTCCTTTGCTGGTACTTTGCTTGTGTGGAGTGACCATTCAAAGTTACAATGGCACTGAAAAAAGTGACTTATGACCGTTTTTCACACTTACGACTGTTGCAGCATCCCCACAGTCATGAGAGGCCAGGCGAGGAGATGCGTGCCTCAATGTGAGTGATATTGAGTTGGCCACACCAAGCCAATAACATGACCACCAAGCCACACCTACCATCTAAGCCATGCCCACAGAACCGGTTGTTAAAAATTTTGAATCCCACCCCTGGGTGTTCGTGCTGCTTAGCAAATAGCTCATTTAGATTAACTAAAATTGAGTAAATTAAGAAATGTCTAAAAGCCTATTTACAGATCTAAATTTAATGTATTTTAGTTTAATACATGATTGAGGATTAATTTATTTATCTTACATGCTTGTGAGAGTTTTGTTATATTACGGTAGTTGGGGATCTGGGGGGAGGGGGATGAGAATAGGAGCTCCAAAGTAATGGGACAACCAAAGAAGTAATGTTTTAAATGCTATAAGTTGGGTTCATTTCTGGTGATGGTAGCTTGCCACTTCAAACTTAATTCTAGCAGCCACTAAAAGACATTTCAATGTGATCTTTGACATCTTCCCTCCACCTTATCTATTGTCTTGGCTAACCTTTTTGGGCTCCTGTGCCAAAAATTGTGTGCGCGCTTGCACGCTCGCACTTGTGTGCCAGCACCCAGAAAACAATGTGTGCCCCCCACACCCCCTACATATGCGCGCGTAATTCCCACACAGCCACCCACCCCCGCCACTCCCTTACCTGCACTATGCCTCACAGCTGATTTTTGGTTGGTTTGAGGCCTTTTTCGGCCTCTCACAGGCTTGAGGAAGGCTTCTGCAAAAAACAGGAAGTGACAAAACGGGGCTAGTTTTCAGCCTGCAAAGCCTGCAGAAGCCTTCCTCAAGCCTTTGGGAGGCCGAAAAAGGCCTCAAACCAGACGAAAATCAGCTGTGAGGCGCGTGCATGCCCAGTGAGGTAAGTTTGCCTGCAGCTCACGTGCTGGCACAAATGGCTCTGCGTGCCACCCGTGGCACGCGTGCCATAGGTTCCCCATCGTCTATATCATCTTTTACTACATGCAATCTTGCTAAGCACAAATATTTTTAAAAACTTCATTATCTGCTCACTTTGTGCAAGGACCAGATTTGGGTCCAGGCAACCTAACCAGTCAGCTAAGGTGCCAAATTTTGGGGGACATTAAAATTGAAATGGCTTCTAAGAAACTGCAATTAACCCGTTAAAAAGCAGTAACACTCAGTATCAGTGGATCCACTCAAGGGGTAAACATATTTCACAGAAAAATTGTAAGCTCAAAAATGGGGGGGGGGGGGAATACCTTTTTCAAATTCCTAACAAAATCAGATGAGCTAAATCATAGGAGATATCAGAATATGCCTTTGCCTAAAATGTCCAAAATGTCTAGAACTAACCCTGATCCTGTTCCTTCAAAAAAAAAACATCTAGAGATGGTTTTCTAAGTCTCCCCTTTTGGAAAGGTACGTAAGATGGGGACAGCCCTTCCTGTGGTAACCCCCAATTTTTCAAACATCCTCCCTTCGTATTTCAGGCAGCCACCATCCTTACATTTTGAAAACTAAACTCAACAATGTTTCAACATGCCTAAACCTGTCTGATTATAGGTGATTGTTCAGGGAATGAACTGTTCTCCAGATGATATAGTTTAACTACTAACACTGTAAATTCCTCCACTGAACATTATTTCCCCATGACTTACTTACCTCTTAAAGGCAGCAGAATGCTTGTGAGGATGCTGTCACTCTTACCAGTCCCGTTAAAGGGCACATATGAAACTAATGTAACCTGTACGTTGTTCCCAAACTGTGGAAGGTGTAATGTTAAACACTTCAGAGTGTACTTCTTACTCTTAGTTTTTAGAATCTTTTCACTCATTTTGTTCTGAATGTTTTTAGAAATCATGTTGCTGCATTTAGTGATGAATTTGTTGCATATCCCTGTGACTTTTAAAGCCAAGAGGACAAAAAACAGTATATATTAAGCATTATATTAATTTACACTAAGATATCACCAGAATTGGCAATTTGACAGCAGCAATCTCAGCATACCCTCTTCTCCCATTTCTTTGCCACTTCAGCAGAGTTCTTCAGATCTTAAGTGCCACTTTATTCTAGCTGATAACACTTAGGGGTGTTGTTAATTTGGGATGTCCAATAATAAATCGTAGGGGGAAATAAGCATCCAGAATTATCTGCACAGTGCTCCAGATGACTAAAAGTGATTAAGGTCATCAGCTAAACAAAAAAAAAAAAATGTTATACTATAGGCAGTTATACGATGTCTGCCAAATCATCTTTTTTTTTTGTATCCACCTAATTTTCAGCCTTAGGGATTTTTAATTTTTTTAAAGGATATGCAAAAAAATCACCCTTTAGCGTATTATTCAAGGAATGATTCAAGGACCTACATCCCTAAATAAAATGGTCACTTGTGACAGCCCATTATAGGTTTTCAAAATGTGCTCAGCTACCTAAAAAAAATAAATCCCCCAGTGTTCAGCTGGGGCAGACAGAACATAATGGAAGACTAGAGGGAAAAGGGGTGAACAATCTCTCCTTTTTTGGGCTCCCATATTCACTTTTATTTGCTGAATTTGAACTGCAGCTGCTTTGCGCGGTACACAATAGTGTTGCATGGCAGCTGCTGAAGCGACCGGGATCGTGCAGGCTTGCAGGAGGCGAGTTAGAATGCCTCTGGGCCTGCGCAAAGTGTGTGTTTGGCACACGCATGCACACAAAGTGTGTGCATAGGCGCAAAGCGCGCCCAAGCCACGCCCACCAAACTGGTGACAATAATATTTGAATCCCACCACTGAACTTGCGGCAGTATACCTCAGTCTTCAGAATAACTTCCTATCTAAAAAGTAAATCTGATACAGAATTCAATTCTAACTAGAAGCCATTCCTGTGTTGCAATTTGATATATGTATTTGCACCATACCCCAATGTCAGTTTTTTTCCCTACGTATGCAATTTATATTTCAATTTTCACAAGCAAGTAATTTTTAATATCTAATTTATTATAGTATATTATTTTTATCTAATTTATTATAGATTATAACTTTAGTTGAATCATCTATACTGAATTTATCAGGAATTTCCAGTTTAAAGCTTAATGGTGATTTTTACTTCTTTAAAAAGTCATATCATAATTTATAAAAAGTAACTAAGGATATATTATAAAACTGTAACCTCTGTGACATTTTAGATTCTATTTTACTTATTTGTACTCTACAACTGTAGGTTTTTTTTTCTTTTTATATGACTTCTATCTTTCCTTGTCTTTTTATTTAAATTAAATATTTTAAAGGAAGCAAAGTTCTTGAAAACCAGGCCCACTTGACCTTGATTAACACTAAAAATCAGGAATAAGACCAGAATCAACAAATAAACAAGTATGAATAAGAAACAATTCAAAATAATTTTATAAATTGTAAGATTTCTGCTGTATACATGGTCTGGTTGCATTCCTTGTGTTTGCTTTCCAAACTTTTGTCTTCTCCATCTCTCTTGTCAAAGACAGCTTGTTGAATGCAAGATGGACTCAGAACCAGCCTTCAGTACATTATTCACAGGAAGCATCGCACAACTCAGTTCACTGCCACGCCATCCCAGAGACTCCAAATAGAGTTCCTCATCGAGACATTGTTAGCAGAATGTAAATAATCACCATCTCCATAGCAGGATTTTCAGAAAAAATTTATAAAGGTTAACATACATCTGCGTGTCCCATTTGACCGAACAAGTCCAATATTTCTTTCATAGGACAGGCAAAAAAATAATAATACCACGGTTCAAGTATGAAACCAATTTTTGAGAATCACAAAAGAATCTGTATTTTTCATAAATAAGAACAACAATGGGAGGAGCACATTCTGCCGTATGCCGGATATAAAAGTGTCTGTTTTAAACTCTGGTGAATGGTGCAGAAATTAAAAAAAGAAAAAGAAACTGAGGCTGAAGTAAAACCATGACAAATAATTAGTCCTCAACACACACGCGCGCGCACACACACACACACACACATCCTTTCCTCAGCATTTCCTCAGAGGTTAAGGAGCCCAAGGGTTCCTCATCAGCAATCAACTCCAAGAAGATAGGCTCCTATGTGAAAATGTGTTCAGCTGCAGGAAGGTCTCCTGCGTCCAGTTTCCGGGGTGAGGGGGTGAGAAGGGATTGCAACATGCAATGGTGTATTTCTGCCTCCCTCGAAGGGAAGGAAAACATGGTCACCCGAAGAAGTTTTTCTGCTTCTCCCACGGTTGCTTCTCATTTCTTGGTAGAGTCACGAGGCTCTTCTTTGTCATCAGTCTTTTTTGTGTTTCCTGATATGTTTGTATTTTTCCACGTAGGCCTTCACAAGATTAGCCACCTTCATGGGATTGATTTCACCGCTTTTGCTGTGACAAATCTGTAGAGAGATCCAAAGGGTGGGTCAATTCCAGGAGTTAATGCAAGCAGCACTTTCTGTATTTCTTAAGATTAGTTAGCAGGAGTATCTTTTTAGTTGACAATAGTACTGTGTCGGCTGCTAAAAACCAGCCAGCAAGATAACCACACCCACCTTACTTACCTTTCTTTTCTTGTCTTCTCTTTTGTTCACACACGCTAACACAGCCACCCTAAGAAGAAAATATAACCATTCCACAATTCCAACCTTTTGCACAGCTTTCCGAAGAATATCCTTGTATTCCTCCTTGGTGATCTCCCTCTTCTGGTAAAAGGGTTTAATTGCGAGTTTCACTTCTTCCACCGCCCTCTCTTGCATGTGAAGCTTCTTCATGTACTGCAAGGGCAGACAAAAGGGCTAATTCAGTGATCTCTGGGCAATAGCATCTCACAACATTCAGTCAAAACCTAAATTCTGTTACATAAATTTTGGCACCTATTTTTTTGTTTTTTTTTTTGTTATTTTACTGACTGATCATTGTAGAGTTGTAATTGCAGGAATGTTCCAATCTCAGGTGGCAAACCTCAGATAAAGAATGTTTCCAAGCAAATACAACTCAGGTAAACAAAGTCACTAATCTAAAGGAGGATTAGAGAGTGGAAGTAAACATAGGTTAGACTTTAACTAGAGATAATTAATTGTATTAATTACTGTGCTAAACAGTAACGAAAGTTAAGCAGTAACCAAAGTTAACCAATGATGGAGGATAACTAAAAATGTGTATAAATGCAAGACTAGACTCCAATAAAGATAATCATGATTCAGTTGTTCATGATCAAACAACTCGACTGCCTCGTCATTACAACAGATCATCAATATGCAACACAACGGAAGTCACAATCAGGTTCTGTATCAGGGATGGGATTCAACCGGTTTTACTACCAGTTTGGTAATTATGTTTATTATGGATGTAATAAACCTTAACCTGTGCTGCCCAGACAGCTGAAAAGCGCTGCGCGTGGGTGTGCGGCATTTGAAAAGCCCCCCTTTTCCTGCTTTTTCAACTTCAGCTGTGCCGCGCAAAGCAGCTGAGGTTGAAAAAGCAGGAAATAAAGGACAGGTAAGAGCCTGGGTGGGCGGGTGGGCCGAACAGCAGCAGATACAGAACCGGTTTGGTGTCTGCTGCCCTTCAGAGCTACCGGCTCTATAGAGCAGGGCAGAACCGGTGGTATCCCACTCCTGTTCTGTATATTAGGTACAGCATGAACATTTTTCTCAGGATTTATAGCACTAACTGTTCTTCCTTTAAATTCTTTGGAAAAGGTAAGGGGTTGGACTTCATAAGAGAGAAAGCATTCTAAGTGTGACCTGAATAGAAGGTCAGAGCCAAATTCTTTCAATATTAATTTAGATTTCTTGTACATGTAGTCTTCTCTTACTGACCATTCATTTAGTGACCGTTCAAAGCAGGGGTGAGATTCTCCCGGTGTAACAATCGGTTCTCTAATTCCATGTGCATGCACAGCTATCGCAATTACTTACTTTCAATGTTACTTCAGGGAAGTAACACAGCTGAGGTGGAGCAATCTGCTCAGCCGCGCGAATCAGCTAAGCAGATATAGATGAGTACAGCGCAGGGGTGGGCGGACGGGCCCACATAATCGTCGGGTCGAACCAGTTTGGAGCCAGCTGATCATCGCCAGCTAGGGGTTCACCCGAACCGGAAGAATCCCACCCCTGGTTCAAAGTTACAAGCACTGAAAAAGGAGACTTATGACTGGACCTTGAAGTTGCAGTTACTGCAGCGTCCTCACGATCATGTGACTGTGATTTGGGCACTGAGCAACCAGCATGCATTTACAATGACTGCAGCATCCCACAGTCCTGTGATCACCATTTGTGACCTTCCCTGCCGGATTCCGAAAAGCTAAGCCAATGGGGAAGCTGGCAAGAAGTCACAAGTCAGGGTCATGTGACATCACGCTTAATGACCCATGGTGATATGATGACCAGAGGTGACATCAGAAGTCAGGGCAGCCAAGTGATGTTTCACTTAACAACTGCACCACTTAGTTATTGAGTTGCCAGTCCTAATTGTAGTCAGTAAGTGAGAACGAACTACACTAGATAAGAGCCATGTTGGATCAGACTCCAAACCTGTATAGTCAAGGATTTCTTTCCCCATAGTGACTTCCAAATGGCCCTGGATGTACAGAATTTAAGCACAACAACAGCAATAGCAATAGCATTTAGACTTATATACCACTTCACAGTGCTCAGCAGCTCTTTCTAATCAATTTACAGAGTCAGCATATTGTCCTCAACAAACTGGGTCCTCATTTTACTGACCTTGGAAGGATGGAAGGCTGAGTCAACCTTGAGCCTGGTGAGATTCGAACTGCCAAATTGCAGGCAGCCAGCAGTCAGCAGAAGTAGTCTGCAGTACTGAACTCTAACCACTGCGCCACCACGGCTCAATACTGTCTTCTCTAACTTTTCCTATAATTAGTATT